TTTTTTTTTTTTTTTTGGTATTTTTATAGTTTTGTTTGTGTGTTTTTTAGTGGTGGTATGAGATACGGATAGGGTGATGATAATATCCTTATACTTGGACTTTTCTCTCCGTATCTTTAGCTGTGGCTTTTAAACTCAGACAGCTTGGTGATTGAATCTTTGGGAAGTTCCAAGAGTATCAAAAAATTCCCCTTGTTGGAAGATACCTTGAAGGCAGATTCCAGTTCTGCCTGGAATGCTGTCAAGGTCCTCTACCAGCCATGCATCAAAAACAGGAATGAAAAGTAAGTTGTGCTTTTGTTTTCTCATTCCACAGTATGTTTTAGTTTCTTTTGCCATTTGGTGTTGAGAAATTAATGAATTAAATGGTACCATACCACTTCCCTGTTTGAAGCTTCTAGGAGTCATACTGGTAAATATTATGCTTTAAAGTAGATTGAATTATTACAGATGATTCATGCTAATGTGCAGAAAGCTTGCTTTTACTGAAAATAATTGGTCTTTTTCTTGTAATCTCAGCTGTCTGTGCATATGGCTGCAGTACTAAATCAGGCATCAACAGCTATGAATATTTACTGATAAGCACTTCCCAGGCATTCAGGATGCAAAGGTGAACAAAACACAGCCCTTTTTTCCCGGGTTTGTCATTGTAACAGGGGGAAGGCAGACCATCAGCAAAAGAGTCATAAAATCATGGACTGATGTGGCTCCTACTAAGAGCCAGGCACTCATCGGAGGCCTTCTGGCTCATTTAAGCCTAACATCAACCCTGCAGGGTAGTACTATTATCACCCTCATTTTAGAGACAGGGACACTAAGACACAGGTGTAGAAATTACTTTAGTGAAATATAAAGCAAGGCAAAGTAGTTGGGGAGTAGTAGGACAGGTGTAGGAGGTCGTCATTTTATATTGAAAGGTCAAGGAAGTTTTCTCAGATAAGATGATATTTAACTGGAAAACTCGAAGGAAGAAAAGGAGTGAGCCTTATCTGAGAGAACAGTGTTTCTGGCAGAGGGAACGGTTGGAAGTTTAGACTTGTCTTGTACTCTCCAATGAGTTTGATCAAATTTGTAATAAGAACAGAAAGATCCCAGTCTTTTTCGGGGAAGTAAATAAGAAATTTTGAAAAATCGCTCTTTTCTTTTTTGGATTATACAAGCAGTATAAATCATAAAATATTCAAACAGTTGAGACATACATAGAATAAAATATGAAAATTCTCCGCCATGTCCCTCTCTGGAAGTAAAAGTGTGTTGTCTATTCTTCCAACTCCTTTTTCTATTTATTTTTCATCTTAACATGATTTGAATGATACAGGTGTATTTTTTTTACACTTAAAAAAAAAAAAGGCAACACTGCAGAGTCTTGGAGATTCTTTCCACATCAGTGCTTGACATTTTATGAAATGGATGTACTATAAATAATTTAACTGTTTTTCTGTTGATAGATACTTGGGTTATTACTGTTTTCCTTCTGTAATTAGCATTGTGCTGTGTGTTGTTACACAAATTTGGTTTGTAATTATGTGTACTTTTCTTATGAGGGATTTCTAGAAGTAGAATTTCTTAGCTGTGGCAAAGGTATGACATTTAAAATTTTGATAGATAATATCAAATTACTTTGTAAAAAAGCATTGCCAGTTTATATATACTCCTACCTGAAGTTTCTATAAATTCCACTTCCCTGAAGCCTCACCCAAACTGCCATTTAGATTTTTGCCCATTTAATGCCAGTCTAAATGAAACAGCTCAGATGACTACCCTTGTGTTGTTTTGAGGTATGATCAGAGAATATGGCTTATGCTTTGATGCTTTGGGGACTTTGGTGTGTGTGTGGCCTAATACATAGTCAAGTTTTAAGCTGTTGGTTGCTTGTATCCTCTGTTTACTTGTGTGTGTTTGTGTGTGTGTGTACTTAGACTTATAAAGTGAAGCTTATTAAAATCTTTTCACATTTTTTATTCCTTCGAAATGTGCATTTTTGAGAAGGGTGTTTTAAATATAGAAAAGTTTTTTTGTTCTGATTTTTATATCGGCTTTTGCATTATATATTTTGAAGCTGTGTTTTTAGGTACATAAATGTTTGTGCCATGACACTTTGCCTAATTACATATTTTATCCATGAGAGATTTTGCTCTTCTTCCATTTGATGCTATTTCCCTTTAATTCCAATCTGCCTGATGTTAATATTGTTATATTTACTTTCCTTTTTTTTTTTTTAATTGCTAATTTGTTATACAGTAGTCCCCTCTTACATGCAGTTTCATGTTCTGTGGTTTCAGTCACCTGTGGTCACTTGCATCCACAAGCAGATGATCCTCTTCCTGACGTATGGTCAGAAGGTCAGTCATAGCCTAATGCAAGGTCACGGTGTCTCCATCACTTGCCTCACTTCATCTCATCACATAGGCATTTTGTCATTTCACATCATCACCATCATAAAAAGGGTGAGTTCAGTACAAGAAGATATTTTGAGAGAGAGAAAGAGACCACATTTACATAGCTTTTATTACAGTATATCATTGTAATTGTTCTATTTTATTATTAGTTAATCTCTTACCATGCCTGATTTATAAATTAAACTTTATCATAGGTATGTATGGATAGGGAAAAGCATAATATATATAGGGCTGGGTACTATCTAGGGTTTCAGGCATCCATTGGGGGGTCTTGAAATGTAACCCCCATGGAGAAAGGGAATGTTTCTCCATTTCTTTCTTTACAGCTGTCCTGTGTTATTTTATCTTAGGTATATGTCTTGCTAACATGTACCTTATAAACTCTGTAGGTGGATATTTTAAAACTTCATTATGACTGGGGCACCTGGCTGGCTCAGTTGGTAGAGCATGCAACTCTTGATCTTAGGGTCGTGAGTTCAAGCCCTACATTGTGTGCAGCCTACTTAAAATAAATTAAAAAAAACAAACAAACAGGTGAATTCAGAGAAAGACAATTATTATATGATCTCACTGATATGTGGAATTTAAGAAACAAGGCAGAGGATCATAGGGGAAGAGAGGAAAAAATGAAACAAGATGAAACCAGAGAGGAAGACAAACCATAAGAGACTCTTAATCTTAGGAAACAAACTGAGGGTTGCTGGAGAGGAGGGGGTAAGGGGATAGGGTAACTGGGTGATGGATATTAAGGAGGGCATGTGATGTAATGAGCACTGGATATTATATAAGACTGATGAATCACAGGCCTGCACCCCTAAAACCAATAATACCTTATATGTTAATTAATTGAATTTAAATTAAAAAAAAAAAACCTTATGAGTGGCAAAAAAAAAAAAAAAAGAAGAAGAATTAGCCAAAGATATAGGTACTTATTGGGGTGTTGGAATAAAGCAAATATAAATGGTCCATTAAAAAACAAATAAAAAACAGGTGAATTAGAAGAAAACAAACTCCAATATGACAGTCTATTTTAAAAGTGAATTTAATCCACACTAACTGTGATTATTAATATAGTTGAACTTAGTTTACTGTCTTTTACATTGGTTGTCTTCTCTATCATTTCTTGATGATTTGGGAGTAAAAAAATATCTATTTCAAGATGATTTTAGTGGTTAACCTGAAACTTCTAATATATGTACTTAAACTTCTTTTTTTTATTATCAGTTTCTAGATTTAACTAGTACGCATACTCTTCACCAGAACAAGAAGACTCTTAGTAAGGTTTTGCATTACTTCTTTCTTTCCCTGTCTCATGCACTTTCCTCTATGTTGAGATCATTTATGATTCTACTGATAGTGGTTCTTTCTTAAAGAAGCCCTACCCCATTTGCTTACCTCTTACACTCATGTATCACAGCCATAAATGTCTTTATATTTTTATTGTGTGTCTACTTCCATGAAAAAATTTGATGTTTTTAAAATATTTATAAATAGTATTATAGTATGTATTTTTTTACTGTTTGTTTTTCACTTCGTAGTCTTTGTTTCATTGTTTGCTTTGATGAAATATGCCCTTTCATAGTTCTTTTAAAGTTGAACTGTAGTCAGTCCTTGAATACCTGATAATCTCTTATATGATATCTCTCTGAAAACCTATAGGATTTTTCTTTATCTTTGTTTTTCTAAGATTTCATACAGATATATCTAAGTGTTAGTGTTTATTCAGAATTTTCTCATGTCACATCTGTTCTTATCTTACAAATGAAGTATTCTCTCAATATCTGAGAATAATAGTGATACTTCAAGTCTTCTGTTTTCTCTATTAACTCTTTTCTTTGGGTGTTAACTCTCTTCTCTTTGAAAAGATTCTTTGTGATTGATACTTTGTTTCATGGTGTTGCTTTCCCCAAACGTTTAATGCTTCCACTAGAATTCTTGTGCTTGGATGTATACTCCAGTGAATCAGGACCTTGTCTATCTTGCTCATTACTACATCTAGATGAGTTTTTTTTTTTTAAGATTTTTTTTTTTTTTAAATGTATGTATTTGAGAGAAAGAGAACACAAACAGGGGGAGTGGCAGAGGGAGAAGCAGGCTCCCCTTTGAGCAGGGAGCCCGATGCAGGCTCAATCCCAGGACCCTGGGATCATGACCTGAGCTGAAGGCAGACGTTCAACCTACAGAGCCACCCAAGCGCCTCTAGATGAGTTCTTGGAGAAGTGTTTAATACATACAATTTATGGTCACATTTGACAAAACATTTGTTAAATGAATGGTTCATAGTTTTCTGCTCATCTTTATATTTGATCGTTACTGTTCATCTATTGGTGACTGTAGGTTCTTGTTCCCATAGTCTGCCTTTATGGATTTGTGAAAGAGAACTCAAAGGATATACCAGTTTGGATGGGCCAGTTTGTCTTTTGACAGCTTTTGGGTGCTAAGGAAAGGGAATTGGTAGATTCAGTTACAGTGGTGAACTTATATTCATTATTGTGAAGGATCTTTACACTGCCTCTCTTGAGGAGAGTGACAAAGATTCAGTGTACTGTCTCATTTCACTCATTCCTAACAAATCCCTGTGACGCTGGAAATAAAATGACTATAGTCAGTTGTGTTCTGCTGTATTTGATTAGTAGACTTTTTTTTTTTAATTTTGTATGTCATGTCTTGGGGACATAATAAATGAGTTTGATGAGTTCAGTTTGCCTGTTGTATATCATCTTTTGTTTTGCTTTTTCTCCTACTACTGGTTGACTCTGTATCCCCCAAAGGTAGTAACGAACTTCATAAATTGGGTAAGCATCCTGCGAGTTATTTGCTTTTGTCTTTAAGGACATTGTCTTTTAAGAGACATTAGTTTCTTTCTTTGGGGGCATTACTGAGTA